TGCTGGCTCTGTCACCTTCGGCCAACCTCCAATCAACTTATGGCTTCTTAAGTGGATGGTGTAAAACGAAATAGGTTAACGAGGTTACCCCTTGGGATCCTTGGTTTCATGTTATATAGATGGAAACAACCTCCACCGTGGCAGGTTACAAGATCATGATTACAACAAACTGATCCCTAGAATTACTCATCTACTTCCTTGTATAACAACCTAAAGATATACATAGAATCTGGACTACCTATATCATCTAACACTCCTCATCAATCTCAGCCACTTCTAAGGTTGAGATTGTCCCTGAATTTTCTAAGCTTGAACACAGGCAAAGCCTTGGTGAATCCATCAGCCACCTGGTCGCCAGTGTGTATGAACCGTAGCTCTAGAAGTTTCTGTGCAACACGTTCTCGAACAAAGTGAAAATCAATCTCGATATGTTTGGTCCTGGCATGGAAAATAGGATTAGCAGATAAATATGTTGCACCCAAATTATCACACCAGAGTCGCGCCTTGGCTGGATGTGGTATTCCCAATTCAGTAAGAAGTTTCTGCACCCATAACATTTCGGCTGTAGCATTTGCTAAAGCTTTGTATTCTGCTTCAGTGGAAGATCTCGAAATAGTGGGTTGCTTCCTGGCTGTCCAAGAGATCAAGTTATCACCAAGAAACACTGCAAAACCTCCTGTAGATCTTCTATCATCCACACAACCAGCCCAATCCGCGTCAGAGAATGCACTCACAAGTGTCGACTTAGACCTCCGAATACTAAGTCCGAGATTTACAGTTCCTCGAACATACCTCAGGATCCTCTTCACGGCGCTCCAATGTACAGTGGTCGGTGTGTGCAAGAATTGGCACACCTTGTTCACTGCAAAAGCTATATCTGGACGTGTCAATGTCAAGTACTGGAGGGCTCCAACCACACTGCGGTAATTTGTTGCATCATCAGGTCCAAGTTTATCACCGGATTCCACACTTAACTTCTCAGTGGAGGACAAAGGGGTGTCAATAGCATTACAGCGATGCATACCAGAGCGCTTTAAAATATCCATGGCATAGCGTTCTTGGGTGAGAGTCAATCCATTACTTCCCCGCTTGACTTCGATCCCCAAGAAGTGAAGATCTCCAAGGTCCTTGAGAGCAAACTCAGCCTGCAGGTCGGCAAGCAAAGCACTGGTGGCCCAGGAGATGAACTAGCAACAATAATATCGTCCACATACACGAGAACAAACAATCTGTTACCTCCCTTTCTATAATAGAACAGCGAGGTATCAGCCTTGGAAGGCACAAAACCGAGTTGTTGAAGCTTGCCACAGAGTCTAGCATACCATGCCCGCGGTGCCTGTTTCAAACCATAAAGGGCCTTGTCCAATTTATAGACATAATCAGGCCTTTGAGGATCAATGTAACCAGGAGGTTGTTGCATATATACCTCTTCCTCGAGAACTCCATGCAGGAATGCATTCTGGACGTCGAGTTGCCGAAGTGACCATCCTTGTGACAATGCAACAGAGAGAACAATACGAATTGTAGCAGCTTTGACGACTGGACTGAAGGTATCTTCATAGTCTATCCCATACTGTTGCTTGTATCCTTTTGCAACCAGACGTGCCTTGTAACGATCAACAGACCCGCCTGCTTTCCGTTTGACTTTGTAGACCCACTTACACCCAATTATGTTCTTGCCTCTTGGTGGTGGAACAAGATGCCATGTTCTATTTCGAAGGAGTGCCTGATGTTCAGTTTTCATTGCCGAGACCCATTTATCATCCTGGAGTGCCTCAGAGACAGTAGAAGGTTCCTCAACAGCAGTGCTGGCAAGTTGACACCATCGAACTGTACCATCCATGTAGACTTTAGGCTTGCTGATGCCATGCTGCGATCTTGTAGTTGGGCGCTGCTGTTCCGGAAGGGAGGACGAGGCCACAAACGGAGGTGCAGCATTCACGCTCGCACCGGATCCAGAAGCCGCATCAGCATCGGGTGTCGGTGCCGATATCTCGGGCCCGCCACTGGGATCAGGATGCGCCGCACCTGGTGTGGCCTCAGACACGGTCAATCCAGGTGCTGGTGTAGAGGATCCCGCTCTTGACGCCAGATCGCCCGGGAACGACGCGGTTTGGAAGATCGTCTCCGATCCCGAGGTGGATGCGCTGCCGGTCGCCGGAAACTGGACGTGCGGATCACAATTTTGACCTGTGCTAGCAGCAACTCCAGAAGAATTATTAGATGCATGAATAGGTAATGAGAATTCAGCACATGATCAGACATTTGGAGTTCCCCAATACCAGAGGGATTGATAAGGTTTTCAGGTAAAAGAAGAATTTCAGCGCGCAAACGAGCACCGGCATTTGGGTGAAGTGAGGCGAATGGAAACACATTTTCATCAAAGATAACATCTCTGGAGATATAGACTCGTCCTTCCCTGGGATCCAAACATTTGAACCCCTTATGTTGGTTGCTATACCCTAAGAAAACACACTGTTTAGACCGGAAGTCTAGCTTTCTAGCATTGTATGGACGTAGATGTGGCCAGCAGGCGCACCCAAAAGTGCGCAGAGATGTATAATCAGGGTGTTGTCCAAATAGACGAAAATAGGGAGTATCATTGCTGATGACTCTAGACGGGAGCCGATTGATCAAGTAAACGGCTGTCAAGAATGCCTCATCCCAAAATTTGAGCGGCATGGAAGCATGCGCTAGGATTGTTAGGCCAATTTCAACTATGTGTCTATGTTTTGTTTCTGCGGAGCCATTTTGTTGATGGGCATGAGGACACAAAATGTGATGTGAAATGCCCATACGTTTAAAGAAAGGACTTAGAGCTTGATATTCTCCTCCCCAATCGGTTTGGATAGAACGAATTTTTGTGTCAAATTGCCTTTCTACTAAGCTTTGGAAATCACGGAAGATTGGGAAGACTTCAGATTTTTTACGCAACAAATAAATCCAAACAAACTTGCTATAATCATCTACGAACGAAACATAGTAATTGTTGCGACCAACAGAATTCGGGGCAGATCCCCATACATCACTGAAAACAAGATCAAAAGGACTAGATGAAATACTAGTCGATCTAGGATATGGCAACTGGTGACTTTTGCCTTGTTGACAGGCACCACAAACACTAGAATTATTGGACTCCTTGACAAAGGGAAGCTGATGACGATGAAGAACTTGGTGAACTATGGCGGGTGCGGCATGGCCTAGACGATGGTGCCACATGGACATCGTTGGCTTGACCGCACCTAACACCTCTTTATTTGGTGGCCTTACTGGGTAAAGGCCATGCTCACATCTGCCTTCAAGGATTGTTTTCCTCGTTGACTGTTCCTTGACAAGAAAACGATCGGGATGAAATTCTAAGAAAACATCATTGTCATGGGTAATACGATTAACAGAAAGCAGATTCTTGCTTGCAGATGGAACATGAAGGATGTGTTTGAGTTGGAGATTAGTGTTTGGGGAACTTAAAATGTCGTGACCGATATGACTGATCTCCATACCTGAGCCACTGGCGGTGTGCACTTGCTCACCACCGTGGTATTTGTCGCGCACGGTGAGCTTGTCCAGCTCGCTGGTGATGTGGTCTGTGGCACCAGTATCCATATACCAGTTGGTGTCCACGCCGTAGGATGCAGTTGCCGATGATGCCGACTTCTGTGGAGGCGTGTACGATGCGTCAAAACGCTTGAAGCAGCCTATGGCAGTGTCACCTTCCTTGGTGCAGACTTGGCAGTAGACCCCCGGTTGGAAGGGTTGTTTGCGTTGGCCACCACCACCACCGCGACCTCCTTTGTTGCCTCGGCCGTAGCCTCCACGACCGTAGCCTCCGGAGCCACCACGGCCACCGCCACCGCTGTGGTTGCCATTGCCCCCACGATCTCCCCTCAACGCCATGTTGGACGAGGACTGGTTCCCACCGCCGCTACGCATCTCGAGACGCTGCTCGTGGCTGATGAGCTAGGTGTTCAATTCGGCGACGGAGATAGGCTCCACACGTGCAGTCACAGCTAAGACGATAGGGTCAAAGTCGAGGTCGAGACCCGTAAGGATGTAGGAGACAAGCTCCTCATCCTCAAGTTTGCGTCCAGCCGACGCCATCTCATCTGCCAAGGTTTTCATCCTCCCAAAATATTCACTAATGGAATTTGTACCTTTCGTGGCCGTAGCCAAAGCCATGCGCGTGGAAATGACTCGCGCGCGGGAGAAAGAGAACATTTTCTCGAGCGCACGCCATGCGCCCGAAACGGTGATCTCCTGATTCACCTGCCCAAGGATCTCCTTGGACATGTTGGAGAGGAGGTAATTGAGGACCATCTGATCCTTCGCCACCCATGCATCATACTCCGGGTTGGGCTTGGGGGGTTCCTTCGAATCTTCCTTCCCCTTCTCCGGGGCGAGGAAGGGAGACGGCGACTGCATCTCTGGATGGATGTACCCGGCCAACTAATATCCTCTCAGGGCCGAGAGAACCTGAGCTTTCCACGAAGGAAAATTCGCTTGGGTGAGTTTTTCATTGGTTGGAAGAAAGGAGATGGGAAACATGGCAGCAGAAGGCAATGAGGATGAACTCGCGAACGCCATTGAAGAGCTCCGTGTGGAAGATGGCTCTTGGTACCATGTAAAACGAAATAGGTTAACGAGGTTACCTCTTGGGATCCTCGGTTTCATGTTATATGGATGGAAACAACCTCCACCGTGGCAGGTTACAAGATCATGATTACAACAAACTGATCCCTAGAATTACTCATCTACTTCCTTGTATAACAACCTAAAGATATACATAGAATCTGGACTACCTATATCATCTATCAGATGGAACCTAAATGTCAGCTAAGAACTGCAACCTACTATGCTGGAACGTAAGAGGTCTAAATGACGGGGGAAAACGTGCATCTGTCCGAAACCAGATAATTGCTACCGGTGCCACGATCGTATGCCTTCAGGAAACTAAGATTAGTAATTGGACCTGTAATCTTCTTGTCGATACGGTCAGTGCGGACATGGCCAGCAATGTGGCGTTCCTGCCCTCAGTGGGGACTTGTGGGGGTATCCTCTTGGTGGCAGCTGAACGTTTCTTCAAACTCGGCCAGCCCCAACTAACCAACAATACTGTCACAGCTAACATTACGATGCTCACTGAGAACAAGACATGGTCTATGACCCGGGTGTATGGACCACAAAGCGATGCGGACAAGGTCGCATTTCTTCAAGAAATTACAGACGTCAGCACTCGCGTCCTCCCGGCTTGGCTACTACTCGGCGATATTAACTTAATCTTGAACGCGCATGAGAAAAACAATGCACGGGTAAATCTGCCAATGCTTAACAGATTCAAGGCGACAATCGACAACCTCGAACTAGCAAGGATCGAACTCAGGGGGAAGAAGTATACTTGGTCCAATGACCAACAATCGCCAACAATGACAAGAATCGATTATTTCTTCGCTTCGGCAGATTGGTTAGAGATGTTCCCAAGAACTGACCTCCGTGTGCTTGCATCGCTGGGTTCAGATCTTAGCGCCCTTTTCCTACAGGGTGATGTGATCATGGATTTTTATAGAGGCTTCCGTTTTGAGTCTCATTGGGTACACATGCCGGGCTTCCTGGACACGGTGCAAGAAACTTGGTACAAGACAGTGAACACGCAAGATGCCATTTTACGTCTCCATGTCAAATTGTTGCGCACGGCCAAATCACTAAGAAATTGGAGGCGTAAATCACTAAGTAGATGGAAGCTGAGCTGAGCCATCCTGAACCTAACCCTGGCAAATTTGGAGAAGGCACAAGAAGAGAGAAGTCTAACACAGGAGGAGCTGGAGTTTAAAAAAATATCTCAAGAATAAATCAATGGGTATGGCGGCTGTGCAAAAATCCAGAGCTCGTCAACATGCAAGATTATCCTGGATCCGGAGTGGGGACACTAACACACGGTTTTTCCAGCTGCATGCAAACATAAGAAAGAAAAAATCGTTCATTGCCTCTCTCAGTGGGGAGTCCGGTGTGGCTATCTCGCAGGAGAATAAATCGAAGTTGGCTTTTGAACATTTCTCCAATATTTTGGGAAAACCTAGTGTAAGAACCAGGGCCATTAATTGGACTGGACTGATCTCGGTTATGTGCGTCATGACCTGGAAGACCTTGATGCCCCAATCACCACACAGGAAATCGAGTCTGTAGTTAAAGACATGCCGTCTGAGAAGGTGCCCGGCCCTGATGGTTATATCGGGTACTTCTATAAAAAGTGCTGGTCAATAGTCAAAGATGATTTGATACAAGCCATCATGAGTTTCTTTAATCTCCACACGTCAAAGCTTAATCTGATCAACACACACTACTGCAGACGGGCTCTTTGCCAAGTGCTTAGGGCACTCGGCAAAGCCTCTATTACACTCGGCAAAGGCTTTGCCGAGTGCCGCACTCGACAAAGAGCAGTCGGCAAAGAACCCGTCGGCAAATATTTCTTTGCCGAGTGCCACATATCGGGTACTTGGTAAAGCCTTTGCCGAGTGTCACGTCAGCACTCGGCAAAAAAAAATCCGACGTCAACTCTGACGGCCTCTTTGTCGAGTGTCACCTCAGCGGCACTCGGCAAAGAATTTTTTCTTTTTTTAAAAAAATTCTTTGCCGAGTGCCATACTCTTGCACTCGGCAAAGAAATTTTTTCTTTTTAAAAAAAAAAATCTTTGCCAAGTGTCATAGCTCTGGCACTCGGCAAAGCTGGGTAATTGAGTCTCTGCTTCCCAGCTTTGCCGAGTGCCATGGTCACGGCACTCGGCAAAGAGGGGAAAATGCTATTTTTTTTGGTTTTTTGCTTTCCATCAGCACAAACAAAGAAATCACATATATATCAACACATAGCACAGGATATATCACATACACATCCATATTCCATCACATACACATCCATAACCCATCACATACACATCCACCATCCATAATACATCACATATAAATCCATTGTCCATAATCCATCACATACATTCGCATCATCCACGACAATATACATCACAATATATATATGTCTCTAGTAGTAGTCCAACATAAGGCTAAGTCTAACACAAGTCCATGCAACATGAAAAGAAACAAATAAACGGTACCTACTGCCAGCCTCCCTACCCGGAGTGTGAACTGTCACCTTGAGGAGGGCCAGTTGGTCACCCGGCCTGTGGAGAAGGGACACCTTGAGGAGTCGGGTTCGAACCAGCCGACTGTGGCTGCACAAAGGAGAAACGAATTCATGAGTATCTACAGGAGGGCCGCACAAGCTAAAGGAATAAACAAACATATATACTCACCGGAGTCCCTACAGGAGGAGGAGCCACAACTGGAGCGAGCAGCGACTGGGGCACGACCACACCTGGCAAGGCCTGAAGGCTCGCCATGAAGCTGAACATGTCCTGCAGCCTCTGCGCCTCGGCCGCCCTCTGGGCTTGTACAGCCTCCATCTCCAGCCGATGGGCCTCCGCCTGGGCCGCCTGTTGGGCCTCCAACCTCCACAAGTCGGCCTGCAACATTCCACCCGCAATGTTTAAACAATGCAAAGGCAAGGTAGATGTGTAAAAGTAATGAACGACGAATAAAACAGTACTAACCTGGAGTTCCGCCATCTGCTGCTGTGAGCTCTGCTGCCGAGAGCGTATGGGGAGGGAGGAGCTCGTGCTCCTTGCTCGAATCTCGGCGAGGATGGGAACAGAGGCGGAGTCTTTTCGTGAAGGAGCTTCTGTGCCGAAGACAGCATATCGTAGTACGCCTTTGCGGATTCCTCTGGCTCGTCCTCTAATCCTTCACCGAACCGTGCCTCCTGAAAGCCATCCATCCAGTCTGCTACCCCGGCATCTTCATCAAAAGCCTCGAGGCGTGGTCTCACCACCTCCTCTCTAATACAATTGGCTTCACCATGGTTGATCCAGCAGGTATAGTTTGGCGTGAATCCATACTTTCAAAGATCTTCCCCCACGTTCTTCCTATTCTTTCTTACACGGTTGTCACATTTGCTGCAGGGACACGGCATCCGACTCGACCCTCTAGCAGCCTCGCCAAATGAATGCTCCAAGAAAGCATTAGTCTTAGTCATCCATTCTGGGGTCATACTTGCATGGCCCGTGTACATCCAATCACGGTTCTCCATCCTCTGGCATATACTATGTAAGTGAGTAATATAACCAGCAATTGCATCTGCACAGTGTTCCTACCATCTAATAGGTGAGGATAGGTCCTAATCCCACCCGCGGATGCATAGATGAGGTTAGTTTCAATGCTCCGCTCCTATCCGAGACAGAATTTCGGCAGCACCTCCCCGCTGTTCTCCCGATACACGTCCTGCAAGGGAGAGTGTGTATCCGGAGAACAACAGGGAGGTGATGCCGAAAGTCTGTCTCGGACCGGAGCTAACCATGGAAACTAACATCATCTACGCATCCACGGGCTGTCCAAAATACGTGGACAATCCAAAAGAGATACGGTCGCAGATATGCAAAGATCTGCATACCTCCGACCGTATCTCTTTCGAACAGGAGACGCCTAACTGGGCTACGTGACTATATAAAACATGCATGCAAAGGAGGAGGGGGTTATACCTAGGGTGGCGGTGGAGTCAGGCTAGCGGGGCAGTGGCGTGTCAGTGCAGTGGCGAGGCGATGTAGTGTAGGCAGACCAGCAGCGCCGACAAAGACGATCGGGATCGCCGAGTCCCTCCCACGGGTCCTTCTCCTACATAAAAAGGCAATAGGTTAGAATCCATTGAAAATTTTGGCAGCACCTCCCCTGCACGGAGAGGTTTCCAAAACCTGCAAGAAATGTAGGCGCAATGGCCAACAACTATATATATACCAAACATAGGCACGAAGGCCAACAAACATATATATACCAAGACGAGCCATGTACTTTAGTTCTCTTTCCATGTAGATGAAAGTATCGAAGTAGTACAACAAGTACTACTACCACTACAACTACTACTAACACTAACACTACTACTACTAACACTAGTACTATCACTACTTACTACTAACAATACTACTAACACTACTAACTACTAACTACTACTACTTACTAACTACTACTACTTACTAACTACTACTAACACTACTAAGTACTACTACTAACTACTACAGGTGTAGGGCATACCTTCGCGACGAGAATGGCAACAACGAGGGTCGGCGACGACGGCGGGGACGACAGCAGCGGCGTGAGGGTCGACAGGCCTAGGCCGGCACCTTCCTTCTCCTCCTCTCTTCTCCCCTGCCTCCTTCTCCTCTCTTCTGCAGTGGCCGTCACAGCCTACAGGGCAAGGGGTCACGATGACAGGGGAGGTGGCCACGAGGGGGGCACACAGCGGGGAGGTGGCCAAGGGGGGCCGCCAGGCAGTGGAGGCCGGGCGGGGGCGGTGGCCACGCGAGGACCCAATGCTGGAGGCGGATGGGACGGGCCAACGCTGGCCAGCCAAGGTGAGTGCCGCACGGGAGGTGGACGGGACGGGCGCCATGGGGGCCTGTGGGAACGCAGCAAGGTGGCAGGGTGGGGCGCGGGCCGGGCGATGTCTGATGGCGGCTGAGGGTGAGAGGTGAGAGGGAGAGAGAAATGAGAGATAGAGAGAGAGAGAGAGAGAGAGCCGGCCGGGCGCGGGTGAAGGGATAAGGGCGGCTTTGCCGAATGCTAGATCGGCGACACTCGGCAAAGTCAATTTTCTTCGCCGAGTGTCGTGATCTGGCACTCGGCGAAGTTTTAAAAAAAATCAGCAGCTCTTTGCCGAGTGCCAGCTGGGCAGCACTCGACAAAGTTATTACTTTGCCGAGTGCCAACCCTAGGCACTCGGCAAAAAAAAGTTTTGTTTTTTGCCACCAATTTTTTTTAAGCTTTAGTACACTACCACAAACAAGTTTAAATTTGGGACATTTTCATTGCCTTTTGGCATATTTCTATAGTTTATTTTGTTTTGTTGAATTTTTCCGGAAAATGTATGTTTGAACTGCAGGTGCATCGAATAATGGATTACATTCGTTCAAAAAATGTTATCCTTGTTTCTTAGTGTAAATTTAGGCTAAATCCGAGAATTGTCTCGAAATTTCGATCAACGTGCTCAAGCGTGCTCAACTTACGTGGGAGTGGTTTTTAATTGTATAAAATGCGAACGAATTCCAAATCATGAAACTTGTCGAGTTGAGATGGTTTTTGCCGTGGAAAAAATTTGAAAGTTTCAAGCGTTGATGCTCACAAACCAGCACATGTGGAGATGTCCTGCTTGTGAGCATCGTGGTGAAACGTGGTCGAAACTTTTCAAATTTTTTCCACGGCATACGATGACACGATATGGCTGGCAACTCTCGATAAGTTTCATGATTTTCGAATTGCTCGTCGCATTTTATACAATTAAAAACCACTCCCACGCAAGTTGGCGGCGCTGCTGTTCGTGAGCACGCTTGATCGAAATTTCGAGACGCCTCGATTTAGCCTAAATTTACACTAAGAAACAAGGATAACATTTTTTGAACGAATGTAATCCATTATTCGATGCACCTGCAGTTCAAACTTACATTTTCTGAAAAAATTCAACAAAACAAAATAAACTATAGAAATATGCCAAAAGGCAATGAAAATGTCCCAAATTTAAACATGTTGTTTGTGGTAGTGTACTAAAGCTTCAAAAAAAATTGGTGGCAAAAAACCAAAAAATAATATTTTGCCGAGTGCCAAACGGAGGGCACTCGGCAAAGAGGACGCCGCTGGATGCCGTTAGGCCCCTACCAAT